GATGAAAGAGTGATAATCATTTATCTTAGTACTGTAAAAGGAAAGAGCATTCTAGAAAGCCAAAAAATGTTACCTCTTGACCCGACCTAGTGATACCATTCTAAGGACTTTATCAAACATGCAAGAAGGTATTAAAGTTTTGTGCACAACGTCAAGACCTGAAATAGCTCTAACGTTCAACATTCAGATAATGTGGTACTCATAGATCAACATGACATCACTACTAATGATCATTAAGTATACATAAAACCATACTGTTCTCTGAGAGTATAGCAGCCACTAGCCATATGCAGCTATTTAAATAAAACTGAATTTACAATTCAGTTCCTCAGTCAGACTAGCCACATTTCAAGTGCTTACCTAGGTATATATGGATGGTGATTATTACATTGGATACTGCAGAGATTTCCATTATCACAAAAAGTTCTATTGGATAGTGCTGACCTACATAGTTTTCTGGACCATCCTTTATCCTCCTCCCCCTACATGCACCCATTTATCTAGAAACATCTCCATAATCTTCAGGCTTTGGCCTAAGCCTCAACTACTATGTGAGGATTCCTCTAATTTACCCAGGAAATTTGGGTATACCTTCCTGTAGTCTCATTATGCCTTGATAACTCCAATACAAAAATTATGTCATATATAATCATACCATTTTCCCCAACATAATGCTGTAAGCTTCTTGAAGAATCATCTTTTATCCAAGGGACTTTCAACTGTTCTGGCACATATAGGAGCTTGATAATTTGTCATATACTAAGAACACTGCTAAAGACAACAAAGATGTACACTATGACTACAAGTAAAAAATGTTTATAAGGAACGTAATGCATCAAAGAAAAACTTGGTTAGGTTGGCAGGCTCCCAAGTTTTTTTTTTTTTTTTTCAATTACTAATTCTTTACATTTTCTTAGTACTCATCACAAGGAGTCTCATTCTCAGGTGTTCAGTAAATATTTGTGAAATAGTTTCTGTATTAAAAGAAAGAAAAAGACATCAAAAATGAACCCTAATGTAAACTATGGACTCGGGGTGGTAATGATGCAGCAATGTAGGTTCAGCAATTGTAACAAATGTACTACTGGTGGCGGGGGATGCTGATAATGGGGGAGGCTATGCATGTACCAGGCCAGAAAGCATACGGGAGATCTCTTTACCTTGCCCTCAATTGTGCTGTGAACTTAAAACTGCTCTAAAAAGATAATGTCTTCAAGAAAGAGACCCCAATATTTTGTTCAAAAATAACATATACCATCGATTTATGATCAATTTAAAAAATTAGATCACAAATTTCTAACCCAAATATTTCTCTCCAGTGCATAGAAAATCTGACTAAAATCATAGCAACTGCAGGGCTTTGGCGTGTCATCAATACACTAACCTAACTTCCACACTTACCAAGCACCGACCTATGCAAAGCACTATGGACACAGTAGTGAACAAGACAATTTCTTTTTTCTTTTGGGCGGGGGGAGAGTGAGAGGAAGAAGCAGACACCCTGCTGAGCAGAGAGACCAATTCAGGACTTGATCCCAGGACCCTGAGATCAAGACCTGAGTCGAAGGCAGATGCTTAAATGACTGAGCCACCCAGGCACCCCAAACAAGACAATTTCTGCTCTCACAATATTTTATCTAAAGAAGAACTTTATTCTGCAAGATAAATCTTTAATCTTAGCTATCAACAACAGATACCCTAAAATGGCAAAAACAAGCTTCTCTTATTATTCTGATTTTTCAAATAATTCAAAGAACTCCTATTAACCATTTGAGAAAGTAGTACATGACCTGGTTTGAAACAAAAAGCTAATGCCTCATTTACTTGGCATTCTTGGGACAGTTGGTATTCCACAGAAATGAGTTTTTCAGACAACTCACCCTTATCCATGTAAGCACCAACACTTAAATTGTTTGGCATGGAGACTTTTTTTAAGTGGGATCTTTCAATTTTTAAAAACAGATTCAATTAAGTACTATTTTGACTAATAATTATTGTGTTGTACAACACTCAAGCTCCTAAACTGTTATGTCCCCAGGGTTCCCTTTTAAAAGTTGCTGGCTTTGAACAGTTTTTCGTCTGATCTCCTGCTTTGGTGTGTCCGATGTCAACTTTTGCAAGTATCAGTGAGAACCTAATTGTAGCAGCCTCCAACCCCTTCAAATTTGCTGTTGCTTACAACTCAAATTTGTCAGAATTTTGCCTAAAACACACAGGCTTAAGAGGATCATCAAATCTCTATTTTGGTTGCTCAGTCTTCTGCTTATTTCCTGAATCTCTTTAAAGTCTCTAAACGAAGTTCCGGATAAATGAGTTACTGCTATACCCTGATAAAAGTCCTTACATTATTTTCATATTTAAAACTGATGCCCAGTCAGATATAACTTCATTACTTATTCACTCATCCAGTAAGTATTAAGTACCTATGATGAGACAGTCTCTAATATTACGGTGAAACTGAAGAACTGAAAAGATTGCTAGTTAATAACATACTCTAAAATAGAAAGATTCAGAAAAATAATTTCATAGCACCTAAAAAAAAAAAAGAAAACCAGGTTTGGGGTTGTTTTAGGTAGTAAATGAAACTACAAAATCACCTCAGTTTTTTAAAATTTCTGTAGCTTTAGACTTAGGAACTGAAAATTCAAGGAATTTAACCAAACATTTATTGTATAAAGCTCTGAATAAGATTCCCAAATTTTCTTTTCTTTTTCTTTCTATTACACATTCCCATCCAACCCTAGAGAAATCACTAGCAACGTATGTTTTAGTATTAAATGATAGTCCAAGTCTTGGTAATGACTTGGGACTATCATTTCAGCCCATGGTTAGTTTATCATCATTTTAATGTTGCGCAACAATGATTAGAAAAAAATGTTATAATTCAAGAAACTTTCTGTCCAAATTTCCATTAAGTTTCTATATACTTCACTTTGGGGTATAGTTTTTTTTTTTTTTTTTTAAGTTTTAGGAGTTAGTAAAATATGGTGTGACTCTACAATATTTGCTTTATCTGCCACAATCATATTTTTAAAATTCCATTACCCATTTAAACCTAAGGCTAGGAAATGAGTCAAGGAGTAGGGCTTAAAATTGGTCTCTGAGGATTAATTAAGACAACAGGTAAAACCCTGGTATCAGCCTTGTTTTAATGTTCTTAGAATCCTTCTCATTTATTTTCTCAGGGAGCACAAGTATCTTTATTTGTATTTTATAATTGCATAAAAGACTACTAATCATCCTTATTATTTATACTGAACTGGAAATGGGTATTAGTTATGTGCCTGTGATCTGAGAAAGTAAAATAATATTGTGAAGTGAAAAAAGTTACTACCGTTAAGAACCTTTAATTACTACCATTAAAAACTTTTTCCAGCAATGCATTAACATTTCTTCAACATTAATTCTGGAACCTGAAAATGCTTTAAGCTTAAGTACTATAAAGGCAGAGCATGGACCTAACTTTCAAAATAACAACGTAGTATTATTTAAACTATTATAGTAAACCATAAAAGTTGGCTCTGACCTCACTAGCACACCATCTTGTCCTGTGAAATAAGTCTGATTTTAAATAAAAACAATTCACAGAGAAATCCAGATGGTCTCTTGCTCTACCATTTAGGCAAAGAAGCAAATGACAAATATTTACTGGACACACCTATCATAAGCAAAATCTCCACCAGGTGCTATCCACACTACCGGTTTAAAAATATATATACACATAGACCCGGCTCAAGATATTTACAATATAATTGGAGAAAGAAAATATGCTTCATAAAAGATACTAATACTAACCAATAGGAAAAAGAAATATATTTGAATTAAAATTGATCATGAACATGTAACACTCCGGCAGCAGAAAGGGAGGGCACTTGGTTCAGATGTAAACAGAATTGTTTTTGCCTATTTTAAACCTGGCAATCAAAGTCACCCAGAACTAAGGAATTGAGCCAACAGCATCACCATAGAAAAAAACCGAAATTCTCAGGAGCAACTGGTATTGGACCATTCAAAACAAGTCTTCCTGTGAGTGCGCATTAGTAGTTTCTCTCCTAAAATCTCCTTATCAAATTAAAAACAAAACTGATTCCTGGTTATCAACTTTGCAGAAACCGAAGCTCTTCGGGGAAGCACTCCCGATTCTTGTTTCTTTGATAGCACTTAAGGTCCATCCGCAGAATAAAAGGGGCTGGGGAACAGCGACGAGGAACTGGCCTATTGTTCTGAGAACCGCAGGACCATCCGAACGCCACGGGGCGCGCGGGAGCAGGGGGGGAGGCGAGGCGCAAACGCGGCACAGGTGTGTGTACGGGCGAAGGGGGACAGGTGTGCCCGAGGCCACAACTAAGGTTAGAGAGGCCCGACTTCAAGATCCAGACTTCGAGAAAGGGAGACAATCATTCTTGAAGCTTAAACCGCTGAGCACCGAGGGGGGCGGGCCTGGAAGTCTGAAGGGCTCCCAAAGCTCACCCGGGTTGGGCGGCGGGGGTAGGGGGTAATGAGAGAAGGCCGGGGGTCTGAGTGTGCAAAGCTCGAGGATAAAAGAAAAGGCTCTCGAACCGAGGGGCCAGCCTAGAAATCCCCAAACAATGGACAATGCTGGGTCTGAGGTAAATGGCTAGGAGACTGAGGGTGTCGCGAAGGTGAACCCGGGTGGGAAGAGGGAAACAAAAGAGAGAAGCCCCCAAGTGTGGGTCCCCGGCGGCGGCGGCAATTACCTGTGAGAGTTGCCGGGGATTGGGGCAGCCGAAGAGCGCGGAGCTGGAGCTGAAGCTGATGGCTCCTCGGCGGCTGAGGACGTGCTGGGGGACCGGCCTGTCCAGGGGCAGCACCGGCAGCTGGTAACATACTTCCATTGAATACGCCCGCCCTGCCCCCGCGCGGCGCCCGCTCAGCCGCGGCTGCCGGCCCCTGCGCTGGGAAGGGGCCGCGGCTCGGGGGCGCCGGGCCGAAGCGGGGGCAGGGCGAGCGGGCGCCGACCCCGGGCCGGGAAGCCGCGCTCACGCCTTCCCCACCCCAACACTCCGCCCGGGCCGCCGGCGGGAAGACGCTTCGGCGGCCGCGGCGACAGTTACGAGGACCGGCGCGCGCCCAGCTCCGGGGTGCAAGCGGGAGCAGCACAGGCAAAGTCGGAGGGGGAACCCTGCCGCCCCTGAGCTCCTCGGCCGGGAGGAGCGGGTCCGGGGAGGGCAGAGCAGGAGCGGAGCAAGGACAGAAGAAAGCGGTGCAAGAAAAGACTGCCGGAGCCAGAGGCGAGACCCAGAGCGCGCGGGGCTTGGGACCAGCCACCAGCTCGGGCCGCCGCCACCGTCCTGCCCCTCCCCTCCCCCGGAGCCTGACTTCACTCCGCCGCCGGCGCGAGCCCGGCGTAATTCACACTTTGCAGCCGCGGACCGTGCGCCAACCACGGCCGCCGCCACCGTGACGTCACGACGCCGCGCCGCAGGCCCCGCGCCTCCGCAGCGCCTAGGGAGACGGACTAACGGCGGGGGCGGGCGAGGGGCGCGCAACCGCCTTCCTCCACTTCTGCACTGTAAGCTCGGTCACTGTCCTCTCCAGCCACACGCCGCCCTCCCTCCGCCCCCTCCAAAATCAACTCGCAGCTCCCCCTAGCTCTCCCCTATCTGCCCTCCACCCAAGGCGCGTGCGCACGAGGCCCCACCGTTTGGGGACATTCCCCTTAACGCTAAACTCTTGGTTTCGAGCGCGCTCAGGCTGTGAAGTGGGCTCAGCCTGCGCCACAAGCGATATTTGGGCCTTCTGACCCCAGAAACCCAGAGCACGCAGCGCATTCGCAGCGTTCAGCCTTAACCGCGGGGTCACCGCTGTGCTTCCCTCCTTGATTTCCCATTCTTGGACTTCGCTGGAGACCGCCGCGGCAGTGACGTCAGCGGACCGCGCGGACCCCGTCCTCCCTGCTACGTCACTGCCAGTCCTTTGGCGGGGCCCGGCTGGGGCTCTCCCCAGGCAGGTGCGGGGCCCCAGGGCTGTCCCGGGCCGAGGGGAGGAGAAAGGAGCCGAGAATGCAGGAGTGAGGAGGGGGTGAAAGGGTGGAGGGGAAACACCGAGACTGAGAAAGAAGTGAGAGTATGCCCTGGAAAAAATGAGAAAGGATGATACTGAGAAGACAAAGGAAAAAAGAAGGCTGCATGACCTTTTACCAAACGTGTTTTTCTTTGTTGGCTTTGATTTTTAGAAAGCAGAGTAAAGAGCTTTTGACCTGATCTGTAACCTGAATATGTCATTTGCAGGTTCATTTTGTCACATTTTTCCCCAAACTATCAAAGCTTTTCCATTGCAACCCATTGTTTCAAATGCATTCCAGCCCCCAGGACGTCAGCCTGAACAAGCTCTTTCCTGCTGGCAAAATTGTTGATTCGGCTCTGCTCTCAGGGTATCCACCCTTCCACTTTTTTGCTATGACTAGCCATTGGCAAGGTGGTAGATCTTTGAAAGTACTGCATAGCCATTACTGATGACGTCAGGTATGAAATGCTCATGATTCCATAAATGAAAACTCTGCAAGACCTTTTATCATCTTTACACAGCGTCTGTTTCTTTTACATCACTTAAAACGTTCTACCTCTTCCATGGTTATTTGTCTGTCTGTTCTCTACTATTAAAAGAAATATAGCCTCCACTGTGGTTTCATGAATGTTGTCTTCACTACATGGTAAGCTCTCTACAACAACTGACCCACTCATTTTTGAAACCCTAATTACTCCCACAACATCTAGTAGATATAGTGAGCATCTGCTGTATGCCTGGGATTAAGCTAAACACTCTCACTCAAAAAAGCCCATGAGATAATAGTATCTAAATTGAAACTGGGTTTAGGGAAACATAACTTGCCCTAGATCTTACACAGATAAATGGCAGAACTAACTAAATAATGTTTGAATTCTCTGTACATTTAAGCACCCAGAAGGTGGTATTGGTATTATATCAAACAGTATATGCTTCAAATAACTATCACATTTAATAACATCTAAGAGACTCAGTTCCATTCAATCATTTGATAAGACTCAGGGCACTAACTAAACAATGCATCTCTCTTTAGGAGAGGGGGGCTAGCATTTACTATACACCCACTGTGAACCATGACAGGTATTCTACATATAACATTTAATTTAACCCCACACAATAGCCACATATGTAAAATTTGATACCAGTTCTACAGATGAGGAATCAGTTTCCAAGACCATAAGTCATCTGTGCCACTGAACTCTGTTCTGTGTGATTTCAGAACCAGGCATTTCCACCATACCATGCAATATCTCAAGACCAGAATGTCAACTGTTCTCAGTGTTTTTTACTATACTGGGAAGCATATCAGTCAGGGTTATCCAGAAACACAGAACCAATAGGAGATTAGAGAGAGAGAGAGAGAGAGAATTTCTGTACATGTATCTTGTCCAAGACACAGAAGAGAAGCTAGGGGAACTGCAGGCCCCCCGCTGCCCCCTGGCCAGTAAGGTGAGTCAGCAAGTCATGTGCAAAACTGCAGCAGTGCTTGGGACCCTGCATGGATCTACCAAATGTAATGGCAAGTGCTTCACTTCCACTTCTCAAATCTTTTGCAAATTTCTATTGTGGCCAACCAAAACCCTAAAAAGAAGAGAATTCTGGGAAATGTAGTTCCAACTTAGCGAAGTTGCTAGTGCAAACTAACCAAGTCCGAACTCTTATCAACTTCACATCCCTACACACTTCTTTTAATCATATTTAATTTTCAAATAAAGACCATAGTAAAATCATGTGTATGTCCATATGATGCAACTAGCTCTCATACAACCCAAAACAGCTCCCTCCCTTCCCAAAAGAGGATAGAATCTTTGAATGACGTTCATCCCTCTTCTTGATGAGTCATATTACCCCTTTGATATCCTGTAACTTAAATACTAAGAAAGAAAGTTACCCACTATTAACACATCCTAGGGGAATGAGAGAGAGGGGGAAAAAGAAAATAACTGGTTAATATATACACAAATATATTCATATCAAAATGAAGGAAAATGCTCACAACTATTATAGTCCTTGTATCTGCAACTGGCAACATAATCATAATTACTATTTCTATTTTCTTTTTTCCCCATTACCTTTTTAAATATCCCTTTGCCTTCAGCAAGTGTCTCAGCCGATAATAGTTCCTTTTCTTATGGGGCAACCCAAATTTTTATTCCTGAAATATCTAGACCATTAGAGGTTCTACTTCTATTGGGTTGTTGTGCTTTTCCATTAACTCATATTACAGAGTATGGGAATACTAAGAGGTACCCCTAAAGAATCTCCTGCATTCCAGGTATATTCCCATGTAGTAGCAACTAAAGATCAGTTTAACAGGATCAATCAGTCCAGGCAGTAGAGTAACCCTCTTCTTTGCACGTTGCTTAAATAGCACAAGGATCCCCAAATGGCTAAGTGCCAATCCCAATTTACAGATTGAGCTCTTGCTGTGTACCCTGGTGGAACCACTCTTCTTTGGGAACTAAGACCTCTGGACAAGCAGAACCCAACGTTGCAGGAATTGGAAGCAAAATTTTGCATGTGATTCACAAGGGGTAAAAGTGAGAGGATCCACTTCCACTCCCACCCCTTGATTCCTGAACCACGGATATATTTTTTTTTCTAATTTTCTTTTTTTTAAAAATTTATTTATTTATTTATTTATTTATTTATTTATTATTTATTTATTTATTTTTGATGTAGTGTTCCCTGATTCATTGTTTGCTTGTAACACCCAGGGCTCCATTCAATACGTGCCCCCATTAATACCCATCACCAGGCTAACCCAATGCCCCACCCCCCTCCTCTCTAGAACCCTCAGTTGGTTTCTCAGAGTCCGTAGTCTCTCATGGTTCGTCTCCCCCTCCAATTTCCCCCCTTCATTTTGCCATTCTTACTATCTTCTTCTTCTTCTTTTTTTTTAAACATATAATGTATTATTTGTTTCAGAGGTACAGGTCTGTGATTCATTAGTCTTACACAGTTCACAGCACTCAACATAGCACATACCCTCCCCAACGTCTATTACCCAGCGACTCCATCCCTCCCACCCCCACCACTCCAGCAACCCTCAGTTTGTTTCCTGAGATTAAGAATTCCTCATAACAGTGAAATGATATGATACATGTCTTTCTCTGATTGACTTATTACGCTTAGCATAATACCCTCTAGTTTCATCCATGTCGTTACAAATGGGAAGATTTCATTTTTTTTTGTAGGCTGAATAATATTCCATTGTGTATATGTACCACATATTCTTTATCCATTCATCTGTCGATGGACATCTTGGCTCTTTCCATAGTTTGGCTATTGTGGACATTGTTGCTATAAACATTGGAGTACACGTACCCCTTCGGGTCACTACGTTTGTATCTTTGGGGTAAATACCCAGTAGTGCAATTGCTGGGTCTTAGGGTAGCTCTATTTTCAACTTTTTGAGGAACCTCCATACTGTTTTCCA